GCCGAGAGCGCCGGCGGTTCCTTTATTTCCGTTGCCGCCTTATTCTCCCGTGCCCGCTTTCCAGGAGGCAAACCGGGCTTAGGAAAGCGCCGGCCTCCATGTTGATCAACTCCTAAAACCAATCCTCGTCCCAGCGCCTGCTCAGCCTGCTGCTGCCCTACAAACTCTAGCTCTATTTTACCACTCCAAAGGGCCAGGCAGCCCAAAATGATGCACTTTGCAATTCACTTTTTAGCAACCTGCTCTGTGCGACAGCAGAGATCGCCTGTAGGTTTAGCCTGCTGCTGATGTAGGTAAAAAAATCACGAAAGGTTTACATCAACCTTCTCTGTGCAGACTGTCAGCTAAGCCAGGGCTGTTGTGTGGGTACAGCACCCGCTAGGGCCACCACCATAGTTGATCCCCCGTGTCTAGTTCGGCATGAGGTTGCAAAAATGCTGGACAGTCCCTCTTCAAGCACTTTGTGGTGATATTTGACCAAAAAAAAAAAAAAAACCTCAAGTTCTTTTAAGGCAATTTTCTCTGACTAGCTACACAAACTGCCTCTGCAAACTCAAATAGCCTCTAGAATCCAAAAGGCAAAGCAGGGCAAAGGCAATGGTGTTATCAGGTAAATAAATATTTGCGTTACAGCAGCTACTAATAAATACAAAGAACATTTATTTAAATTACCATCGTCAAACCTGAAAGCTTATTTAAATTGTTTCAAGATGGATCCAGAGAAAGAGCCAGTAAGCAATATGTACCTCCTTTATGTCAAATGTGAAGACACCAGAAAGGGTTTTTAAAATGCTCCGGATATGGTGCAGGATTGTTGTTCAAACTACAGGGCTGAGTTCTCTGAGGTTGTAACTCTGCAAAGAAAGACCAATAATACAATGGACACAACAATATATACAACAAAATACATGCAATAATTACTTTACTTGACCACTAAAGCAAACATAAATATGCTGAAAAAATCACCTTGCCCTAATTATAGGCCAATCTTCCAGCAGTAAGTGGTGCTGCTGGTGTTGCTTACTGTGGCAAAAACAGTTTTGCAACACACATTTAGGAAGCAAAGAACGGACTTAAGGTTGTTTAATAGCAACACCGCATGACCAACAAACAGCACTAAACACACACGACCAACCAGCACAACAAATAAGACAGCACTAAGCAGCAAAAATGCAGCAAGAGCATTATCTCTACTGGGTGCTGAAGTTCAAGAGCTAGATTGACTTGGGTCGGAATTAAATTCAGCACTTTTTGAATGGCAGTCTACTGCTCCTTTCAAGAAAAAAAGCATTCAGAAATGCCATTAAGAAACAATACTTGCCACAGTAAGTGACCATGTGCATGCCTGGACATTCTGTAAAACAACAAACCACAAAATCCAATAGTACTTCACCTCTGCAACTTTAATCCATAACCTAACTTACCTTCTTTCAAACTTAGGATTACTAGGCATGTTTTTGCATTCAGGAAAGCAGAAGAAAGGAGACTGCATAGACCCTACTGTTAACCTGGTATTTTGAGAGGGTGTAGGATGGCTCGCATATCTAAAAATAAGTCAATATTCACAAAAACCACCAAGAGTACATCAGCCTCTTGAGTCTGTTATTAGATAGGAATTTAGAAGCAAGCAGTATTAGGACAGATTTTGCAGAAGCTTACTAGGTTTTATGAAAATTGAAATAATGGACAACTTCCAATAATAAGCAGCATATACAGTTTTGGATCAGAAATACATAGGATTAAAAGACCACGCAAACGAATGCTATCATGTTGTAGCACTTTGGTGAACTTACTTAAGGCTGTATTCTCCTGTCTCATAAGCAGTTTGATCACTGATGAAGACATTACTTTAAGTAGCAAATACAAACATGGTTCGAAGACTGTCGGTTTATTTTAGGTTTACAAAAATCTATTATAATTTTTTAAAAAAAGATTAAGTGTATCAGTACACTTCAAAATTCTGAGACTTCTTTTCCTTAGTCTCTTTCTTTGTCAAGATATGTAAAAAAAAAAAAAAAAAAAAAAAAAAACCAACTATAAGGATTCTATTCTATGCTTTTCAGCAATGTAAAACGCAGCCATTAAACATTTACGGCTGTATTTGCGTCCAAAAATGTTAATTCATGATATAGGAAACGCTTATGTTGTACATTATTTTTATTCTAAACATATATGTCATCTTGAACAAATAAAAGGTTAAGGTAATAGAAAGTACCGTAAGAATTACTATTAAAATAATGACAGTGCCTATTCATTAAAAATATGAAATTTTGTTTAGTTCTTTGGTCACATAAAAGTATAAATTTATTTTAACAGCAGAAAAAAAGCTGGTACACATGTACAAACACACAAAATACATAATATGCATTTCACATAAGTATCAACATCTTACATTTCAATTTTTCAAATTTTATTTCCACAGCAGTATTTAGCCGTATTTTTACTAAAGACTTCTATTAATTTAGATTAGTTTTGAAATAAAAGGTAATAAATTTGAAGAAATTGAAACTGTAAAAAAAAGTAAACCTGCGAAGGTGGGACATTCAAAGCAAAGTATTAAGTGATAAAATAGTAGAATTAGGATTGCACATGTAAACTTTTATGCAAGAAAACTCCTGCGGTAGAGATAGTGTTTATTTAAAATGAAAATAACTAAGTCCTGAGAATAATCAAGCAGAACCATGTTGCCTTATGAGAATACAACAGAAGTGTTCCCCTCCTGACAGTCACATAGAAATTGTTTCATACTTGCACTAAGAGAGCAAACTTGGAATGTTCCTTTCCACCCATTCCAAACAATATTCTTAAGACTGATGATTTTTTCACTAAAGCATACTGTATAAGATTACTAATTAATAATTTCAATTAGTGTGGTAGATGTTTATTTGTGTAACTCATTGACATATGGAGTATCTGGCAAAGCCAGCATGCAAAGATTTCAAATGTCAAAGTGCTGAATATATATATTGCATCAGTTTAACATTTACGGAAGTCTTCGGGAAATACCATGTTATGGAAGACTGAAACTGTAACAGCAGATGATCAAGTAATGCTGCTCCAAAATTTTTTTTGATTAGGACTTTTATCCTTACTGTAATTAAGCAGCATAATTATGTATTTTTTTTACACAGTATACCAATAGTTGAGTCTACTGTAAAGAGAAAAAATATAATATACAGACCATTTAAATGGGAATGAGTCTAATTTTAGCATGTTGTTTTTATTATCACTCACATCTTTTTTTTAATAGAAAATTAAAACATTACTTGGGAGTATTAAATATGAACTTAAAATCCTGGATGCTTTGCTTTCAAGATGATATTTTGGTATTATCTGGGTAAAAAGTGCTAGAGCTTATGTGTGTGTTTTAGATAATTCAGTTTCCATCACAATTGATGACTGAATCTGTGCAAAATTTTTGTGCATGCTTTTTTTTAATATAGTATAGTAGGCAATACAGTATTTTTTAAGCTTAATTGATTATCTACATCCAACTCCTCAGTTAAAAAATAAAAAAAACATTTAGACAATTCAAACAACATAATTTTGTGTAGAATGTATTTATCTTAGACTTTCTTTTCTACTTTTCCCCTTTCAGATTATCATGAAATAAGGATTTGATAATGTAATTCCTCAGGTATTGCTGCTGTAAGTGAAAAAGTACATATTCTGCTCATATATATTTGGTTATCAACATTCTAATACTTCCATTTTGTTGGGAACAGATACATGTCCACTCAAACTTTCAAATAGTTTTATAAAAAGGTTAGAAAAATATAGTCAAAATTTGTTGCATAACCTTCCTATATTCACTGTAAATACATGAATCTTACAAAATTATTTAGAATTAATTGTTAAGCTGCAAAAATACCAATCACTACTCAGCACCCAGAAAAAGATCTTAATGAGAAAATACAGGCTAATATACACAGGTATTTTTCTTCAAGGTTGCAGCTATGAATTGAAGCAAGTAAACCTCAAAAATATTCAGTACGACATTCTTTTGAGCAGCCTTGGTCATGTATACATTACTTGCTTTCACGCTAAATCCTGAAGAAGTGCTGGTGAATGAGAGTAGTAACTGACAAATGAAGTAGAAAGTCTTATCAACCGACAGAATTTACTGCAGGTTTAATGGCCACCAAGTTCTTATTTTGCAAAGAGCTGACAAGTTTTCCTTCGAGGGCAAAAACTCTTCCTAGTAATTTCCTTGGTCATGTTTTTAAAATGCCATCTGTGATCCACTTAAGCAATGACATCATGGATATCACTGTTGGGTCTTTGGCATATAGTTAGCGGTGGTAGAGGTTTTCCATAGAAATCTGTATAAGAAACACCAGAGAAGAAAAACATGAATTTATCATCTTCCTCACTTGAAGGCATGTTTGATTCAGATAAATTCTTGCTGCCTTAACCAAAGGCAGGTTTAGAGCTAGTTCCTACAAGCTTCTTAACCAAAGCTCTGTAGCCTGCAGGTTTAGAGCTAGTTCCTACAAGCTACTCCAGACATAGTGCCAATTAAGGTCTGGAGGTATATTGGTCAAAATGGTGCTTAAAGTATATTTTATTATACAACAACATCAGCATTTGCAAGATCAAGCCCCAAAGTAATTTATAAACATTCTTAAAGATAAGGTATGAAATATCCCAAATGTGCACGTAGCAACTGAGAAAATGAAGCATCAAAATTGGAATGCTGCTGCATTGCAATACATTTGTAAGTGATAATAACTTCAAGAAACACTCAAAATTCCTCTATGCATAATATGATTTCTATATGACAGATGACTATCTAAATAAGCTTTTCTTGAGATTTATTCAAAAGTGCAACACTTTCTGTGGCCAAAAGCATTTAAGTGAAAAGTGGGAAAAGTGTTCAAAAAAAAGTACAACAGAAGAGAATAAAACATACAGTCCAACCTGTGTTACTGATAATAGAAAATAAATGCAGACTGGTACGTTCACATTTCACAGACAAATGAATATCAAGAAAGATGGTAACAAGAAATAGGTTAAAAAAAAAAAGGGAAAAAAAGCAAAAGCAGCTTTTTGAAGCATTCAAATCTGATTTTCAGTTATACTGGAAAATGGCTTGAAGCAATGATGGCCTGCCAACACAGGATTGAGCTTTAACTGTCCACATGCTCTCTGTATCTACATATGCAACAATCTGTGTTAAAACAGCACTTCTGAGCTAAAGCTAACAAAAGCATGCAAGTTAGATAACCTGACTTCAAAAATACTCATTCACATCCATAGGATGAATGCTTCAATTATCCTTACATCCTTTCAGTGGAGTGTGTCCTGCCATAATTCCTTTGTTTCAACAGAACTGCGGTTGATGTCATGATATCAAAATACCAACATGAGCATTATCATAATACACTCATTAGAAGATATATGAAAACCTTTACAATGAATGTTTCAATTACAGTCAACTCTTGAGGTTTGCTAAAAAAGGCATTTTAAGAACGGGACTGGCAATTTCAGCTCCTGTAGCGAGAGATGTTTATTCCTCTTGCAAAAGTACCTTTCTGTGGCAATAGATAGACACTCATTACCAAGCACTATGCTAGCACCACTAGCATGGCTGGCAAAATTGCAGTCTTTAGTAAAAATAATTGTATAATTAAAGATTTATATAATTGAGTATTATGCCCATTAACTCTGCCTAAACATCCAGCATAAGGCTGTTCTCTGATATGAATGACACAAAAATGACTACATGTTTATCCTAAATAGCCCGATTGCTAATACCTACATTTTTCAGTTTGCCCATTAAATTACTATGTCTTTGACAGCTCTTAGCTCTAAAAAAAAAAAAACCACTTCCACAAATTCTTTTAACCTCACACTACATGCATTTTATGTATTTCAGCAGTAATGTTCCTACTACATATCTGTGTCACTTAAAAAAATAAATAAAAAGATAAAACAGAAAAATAACTGCTATACGAAACTGACAGACTTGCACTAGAGTGCATGAAAATACTGCAAAACATTTTTCCTCTGTTTTTTCATACACTAGTGGATATCAACACTACAAAGTCATATTTGTTTTAAAGCTTAAGAAAGTTAAGATTCTTGAATTACATTTATAAGCAATCTTTTTTTTTCAGTGACATACTCTTGAATGTGGACTTTGCTCAAGACTACTTCAGAAAGTAGCATTTAAGCACTAACAGAGATCTTGAAACTTTTAAAAATGGACTGTTTAATTTAGATTGTGAAATACCTTTTTTCCTTTTTTTCTTGCCCTTATGGATATTTACACCTTTATCTGAAGCCCTGACAAAAGCACCTACCAGGCATCCCACAGGCATTGTGATTTTTCAGCCTAGTCTATATGAAGGCTACTGCCGGAGCTCATTTTTTTCCTTATACCTTTTCACCCAGTTAGCCAATAACTGACCAATTTACACGCATTTACAGAGAATTTGGGGCAAGTCTGGGGAAAAAAAAAAGAAAACAAACACACAAAAACCCCAACCATTTGCTGAAAAGACAACTCACAAGAACTTGCTTTTCAGGAAGATGCAATTCAGAGAATGTTCTGAATAATGGATCAAATGTAGGTCTTAAGAAAAGTCTTAATGAATTTCCGAGCAGAAACAGGTTCTCTGTGCAAAATACCTAAAACTCATTGAAAAATGCCACTGTGTGGTGGTAGAAAACAGGCATAGATGGCAAGCTAAAATCAGTCTGAGATTTCAAATGGTCTGAGCATAAAAAAAAAAAACAACTGCTTCAAACAGTGCTCATTGATTATTAGGATCTAACCAAAGTTTTGACAGTACTGGACATGCATTTGAAGAGCTCTTTTCATCTGTAACTACTTTTCTAATAGATGTTTTCTTGCTCTCCCAGAATTTTCTGTATCACTTTAGTAGAGGGCAGCTTTTTAAATGCATTGTCAACTACTGACCCCACTCCTAATCCTGGATAAGAGCAGTGGGAGTGAATCTTAAGAGTCTGTCAAAAGCATGGTAATGACGTGGCCAATGCTTCCTCGCATCCTGCTACACTCCTGCCTCTTCCAAGTCGAGAAACTACAGCTGGCAAAGTCAGTTTTGCTTAGGCCTAGTTTCACCTGTGTGTTCCTAAACTTGGGAGTCCTCAGCAAGAATATGCATGCCGAATGAAAAATACACTGAAAAGCTTGCAGGAGAAAACAGTTTTTGAAAAAGCTAACGCGGCGTTTATATCGTGATGGTTTGAAAGCCACCATTAAGGTCACTAGCATAAAAGCCTTAATCCTCGAGTGAAAAGGCAATATTCAAAATCTGCACAGCAGGAGAGGTTAACAAGTAACTTTTCATTTTTCTTTATGCAACATCGAGTGCAGGGAGGAAGTAATGCTTTCTTCATACTGTTAGTTAACAAAGGAACATTTGGAAGTCTCAAAGAAAGAGCCTAAGGACAGAGTACTGCACAAATTCCGCACTGACAGGGTGTTGAAAATGATCTTTGATTTCTGGCAGTTTAAGGAAAAAAAAAGTGTAACAAAAATGCCTTAGCACAGGGCACTTTGCCACTATACAGGTCAGGAACATTCCTGAACTACTCCCTTCCCCAAAACTGTGAGAAACGCATAGGCAGTGGTTTGAATTTATCTGCAAAGGCCTGAGCAGCCCAAATTTCTTCTGACCTCATGGTTACTCCTCTACACAATGGCAGTGGCTAAGAGAACCTTCCTTTATCAGTGCCTTTCTCATTGCTTGATTCTAAAATAATTTGATTAATATCCTGGTTTTATAAATAGAATGAAGCAGCAGGACAGACCTCAGGTGATCAAGTTATATAACCCGTGAGTTGGGAACTTCACGTAAGATTCTTTTCCGCCCCTTGTCCCACCCAGTCTCGTACTACAAAATGCAACACATTATTTTGGCACATGTCAGATAAAAGCAGAGATTATGATCCTTCCCTTTCTTCCCCTCCCTACCTCTTTGTCTGGCTTTTCTTTCTTGCCGCCTTCTTGCTATACCCCTTAAAAAAAAAGAGCAAGATGATTTTATGATTAAGAACTTCTGAAATACAGACTACAAATTACATTTTATGCATATGAATTGTGTTCCTGTGAAAAACAAATACTTAGTTTTTAGACTTCAGGCCTTGTATGTCCACATGATCTGCACTTCATGAGTTCATCAGTTCAAGTCAAGGCTAAACTCAGAGATTACTACATTCAAGCTACCTTTTTTCCCCTCTATAAATTCCGCAATTACTTGTCTCTGTGTTCAATTTGTGTGAGGATGACTACTGCTTTGGCTGGGTTATCCTCCCCTGATATTACTCCAGATGGTCCAGATTGTCTCCATATCAACTTGGCTTATCAAGTTTTGCAAAATTATAATGTAATAAAAATGAATAAAATATTTTTTTCTACTCTAAAACTGGGAACAAGACACTATCAGAGTATAAAAAATGATCTTCCATGGTCTTCCACCAGTGGAACATAGCCATTATGAAAGACAGAAAGCATGTGTACCAAAAATTTACCTATTAAACTTGACATCTTCACCCATTAAACTTATTTCTCCTACCAGCTTGTGAACTTTCAGGGACACTGGCTCTTCGTGTAGAACAGCAGATCCCAAACTTCATCACTGACACCTCTCTTGGCAGACCAATAACCTAGTTCCCAGTTAGAAGCCCCACTTTTGCAGTCAAGTTTCTGCTGGGCTTTTCATCAAAGCTGGATTTCTAGTTCTTCATTTGGAATTGTTAACGTAATAACTTAGAGGAGCCCACATGTCTTCAGTTTTGCTTCTGACAACAAAAAAACTCCAAAGGAATGGCAAGAGAGCTTTCAGACCACACTTTTAAAACTGTATAGAAACAGGAGTGGATGCAAGAAAACATGGACTTTCTCAAAAGACAACACACACAATCAGCTTTCGCACAACAAACTTGTGTAGAAGTGACCTAGTGTTCACAGAAATACATGGTTTGAGTTCAACATTGTGAAGTGAATGGCACTTCCAGACTGAGATTGTGAGGAAGATCAGTGTGGAAACACAAAAGCAGCTCAGGGCAGAACCAGCCTGGATGTGATGGAACACTATGGATCCCAAATTAATAAATCCTTATGACATGATTCTCCACAGAGATTTATGTTTGCAGATTCTCTGCAGCCAGTGCTAACATCATTCTCTCAGGCAAACCTGGCTCAGGTGTTTCTGCAATATTCTCTCTGATAACTCAACTCCGGTCCCAAGTGTATTAGATAATAGTGAATTGTTTACATACAGACAACTGAAATATACTTTGAAACTTCTACTTTGAATGCTATATATCTTGGGCATTTACAGGAAATACCTTTATTATTCTTTGTTATAATACAGCATATGTTGTTGAGCAAACAGTGTCAGTCATTACTAGCTTCTAATATTCCATGCCACTTGAAACTTTGCAAGAGAATCTGAGAGAATATTTTTCCTCCCCCGTAAAGAAAGAAATAAGACTTGAAAAATCAAAAAGATGCTTCCTACTAAGCAAAAGGGTTAGCATTTGGTCAAAGAAAATTGGCATTTAGAAATCAAAAAAGGTGAAGAATGAAATGAGTCTGAAAGTGAGTGAACAATGGAGAAAGCTTTAATAAAGTTTCACACTCAGAATGTGTTAAATTACCAGCATGATGTGTTTCACCAAGAGGCTCAAGTTTTCGAAGTCTATTAACTTTGGGAGTTCCCCAGCCAACTGAAGAAAAACAAAGACAGTCAAAACGTGTCACTAATACACGGAAGCCAGTTTTCTTTAGAGAAATGAAAAGCATCTTAGAAATGCTTTAGGGAAATAAATTAATTTAGGAATACGTAAGTATGTAGTATATATCTGCTGTATACTGATGAAATAATTTTAAAATAAATCACTCTTTGTTTAAAAATACTGATATTTTCAATCATTGTTTTTCATCAGTGAGTAATCAAGTTGCTAATCCTTCCTCTCCCCGCCCCCAATTAATAAAATCTCTTGTGGAATGCATCAAATCAATACTGCTGAAAGTTCACACCATAAATTGAGAAATTACATGATTCTCACGGAGGGGAAGTTTTAGTAGCACATTTCTGCATGAAGACTCTTTCAGTTTAACTATGCACAAAATAATATTTCAAAGGCTTAATTGTCACATACTGAGATATCTATTGTAATACGTAGCCTACCTACCTGGTGGAAGAGGTGGTGGCGGTGTAGGGTTTTTAGAAATAGCATCCTCTGCATTAACAGGTTCTACCCTGTGGCCCCTTTTTAATTTTGTTTTTTTCTTCCTCTTACTGCTATCTGTATAAGGCAGAAGTAGAGCATTACATACCCTCTAGCTATCTTTACAAAATGTATCATTCTTTGATCAATACAGTAATCAGAGTGAAGTACATCAGCATTTTCAGTCCATACTTGCACATTACAACAAGCCTGTCAAAATGTAAAATTTACACATTTTGCTTTAACAAACAAAATGTAAGCATAAAATATACACAACTCTACCTTTTAATAAAGAAATTCAACTCAGCTTTGTATTGATTGAATCTGGACCACATATTTGACTAAAATAAAAATGGATCTAGTTTTAGGTATAATTAAAAAAACACCAATAAAAACACACTGGTATGAAGTAGATTTTTCATTAAAATAGCCTGATTATGCATATGTTTGCAATAGATTAAACTGGCATGTGGTGCTCTGAAAATTAATGCAAACACAAGAGATGTCTTAAAAGCAAAACGAAACATAGTAGGGATGTGGTTATTCTCAGTTTTGCACTTTTACCTGAATCAAGGCATTCTGATGTTTGCTGCTCACTCTCGGCTTCATTCTGCCATTGCTGTGTAGATTTGCAGGTATCTAGTCTATTACCGTTTGGTTTTTGGCTGCTGCTGCTGGAGCCATTCATTTGTTCCTGCCCTGTTTGAGATTTCAAGACAATGGCAGCCTTTTCAGTCTCCAGCCTTTGCCGCTTCTTTTCCATTTGTTTTTCATTCTAACAAAAAGTGTAAGAATTTTTTTTTTTACAACTTTTTATGTAGCGCATAAGACAGGAAGATTATCTTAAAGTTAAAATTCCTAAAAATATTTTTATACCCCAGATGCAGCAAAGATTTTCAAATATAGTAAATTATCAAATAAATTATCAAAATAAATAATATGAATGATCAAAAAGTTAACACTTCCAATATGTTCTCTAGAAAAAAAAAACAGAAAAAAAAAGTCTTTAATTTTACAAATGATTGACATGTACAGAGAGTTGCAACCTCATGTTTTTGTCATGTGAGAAGAAGTTATTAGCCATACAAATGACATGAACAGCCTTAGCAAGGGAGAATCAGAAGGCTGATTTTTTTCTTTACATTTTGTTTTTGTATTGATTAAAAGAATACACGCACACACACAGAGCTTTTAAGTATCTGGAAAGTAATAGCATAATTTACTAAAATATCAATTGTGCAATACAGACTTGATACCGGTCCTATATCACAAAATCAACATCCTTGAAATACTCACAGCTGTATCATCTCTTTCTACTCTTTATGATACTATGAAATCTATTATTGTGTATGCAGCTGACTTGACGAGATATGTAGGTATGGGATTTTTTTGGTCCTGGAGAGAAGGCAGCGTTTGAATTACTTAACGGGAGAGTCTGTGAGAGTTTACAAATATTGCTTGAAATTATGCTATTTTAAATCAAATGAAGAAAAAATATGTTACAAGAAATGGAAAGTCATACTGAACTCAACCTGAACTCAACCATACAGGTTGAGGAAACATTATATAAGAATCTGTTTTTCATATGTCAAAACTAAGAAACCCTTTTTGTTTCAGTTCAGCAGAAAACAGGTTGTGTTCAGAAAAGTAGCTGAAATTGGCAGGGAGACTTTATATGACTCGCCATATCAGTAGAAGACTTCACAAGAAACTGAAAGACCTCAAATATTTTCAATCTTGCATATCCAATAAACTAATCAGGAAATGTTTTCAGTCATCTGCTTACAACATCTTGCTTTTACTGGGTTTACAAAACTTTCTTGCCCTGAATCAACATGAAAACATGTTTCTTAACATGAAAACATTGATTCAATGCACACAAAACCAGACTGCCAAGATAAAAATCAGTGATGTGCTTTCAGGCTTACAATAATTCTTTTAAATGAACTATTCTTCTCATTACCTCTCAGATATTTGTTAACGGTAGGTCTAAAGTGATCCAGATTTCCACATAGTCTCATACCTCAGAGATTACAGTAGCTATAGGCTGGAAGGGGTTTTCAGAGTTCCCAGGTCCAAAGTCTTCCTCATCAGGTGCATTTCTTCCTTCTTCTTTTTCCCTTTGTTGTTATTAGGGTTTTGTTTGTTGGTTTAGGGTTGTTTTTTGGTGGATGGTGGGGGAGAAAAGGACCAGCACATTAGGAAGAAGAATCACCACACATACAATTTATATAATAGAGAATGCTTATTAGGCCACCTGATTCTTCCCCCAGTTTACGACAGCTGATTTTTACTCTATGCTTCCATAATTTGAAAAATACAGAGAGCGCTATGAAAGGATAATATCAATAAAGCACAAATATATTTTAAGGCAGAGGTAGAGGCATATGCTTGTATATACCAGGATATTGAATCAGCACTTCAGAAAGTAGAAGAATTTTCTGAAGACAGGATGTATGACAAAGGATGTATATAAATGGAGGCATTCATTGCACTGTGGTATATGGAAATATTCATGCCAGTTCCAACGGTTTGGTTACAACAGTTGTTTTAAGGTATTCAACAATACAAAAAAATTACATGGTGTAAAACAAGATTATCTAAAATTCGTTCTTCTATTTGAATAAACATTCATTTTTTCCTAATGCTAGAATCTCCCTAATATTCTGAAGAGACATCAGTGACACAGTTTATTCAGTTTATGGAATAACAGTCAGGGAATCCTATTTGTTGCTACTTGACTCAGCAAAGTTCAGAAAGACAGGTACAACTCAGTGTACTTCTGTTGCAACAGCCCTTGCTTTGTATGTACTATAACTTTAGGCAGGAAATTGTATTAAATGTTTAATTAGTTTTCATCAAAGACAGAAGAAATTTAGCAAAACTAGTAAACTTTTAATCCAATTCCTCCACTGAACAAAACCAATCAAGAAACATTGGGCAGTTACAAAATGCATGAAAATGTCAGTATCATTGGGCAATCCCTTTGAGAGATTTTTCCCCATCAATCTTCCTCTCTACACCTCCCAACAAGCAAAAATCCAACACAATCCAACAGAGCTGGTCTGTGAGGAGCCACCTAGCAGACTAACAATATGTGCATTTTTATATGGGCTCTGTGAAATAGATATGAAGACAACTGTGCTCATCTCAGTTATGCTGCTGGAGTCTTTCTCTTGCTGAAATAAACCAACTCAGCTAAAGCACAAGCCAGGAGACTCCACAGAATGGTTTGTGCTACAGTAACCGAGACTCACAGGTCTCCACATACACTGGGCAGACAGTGGGGGTGCAAAGAGACTTTTGTAATAGCAACCTGCCAAGAGGATCCAAATCAACTTTTAATACACATCATGGATGGGATTCAGGGATTCACAGAATTTGAAGAAATAAATCACTTGTCCTGCTTCCCCCTGCATCGTCTTATGTCCCTCTTTGCATCCTCTGCTGGGTACTCTGAGGGTGATTAAGCCCTGTGTTGAGTAAAGCCTTGCATCTAGTCTGTGATATTTACATTTCAGTTACAAAGTCATGTCCTAACTTTTAATATGGAGTTTCTCAGCTTGCTTTAAATCCTTGATAACTGGTTTCCATAACCCACATGCCCAGGAATGAATCAGGTATCTTATGCTGAGGGAGGAGAGGGAAGCAGGAGAAATTACAAAAGGAATACCTTTCTTCTCGTATTTTTCTCACTCTTTCAGCTCGTTCTTGTTTCTTTTGTTCTTCAAAGGCTTTTTGTTCCCTAGTGTCTCTTTGGATGCGCTCGTGTAAGGCATCAAAATCTTTTGCTATGATATGTAGGAGCCAATATAAACCCTTTTTTATTGATTTATCAATTTTTTTCCCGCAACCCATGACAGCTGAGCAAGGTTCCTGTACATATAATGAGGAGAAAAGGAAGAAAATTAATTGTAGTTTAGATCAAGTTACTACTTGGCTGAAAACAAAAACTCAGCCAAATTACTTATATGCTTACAAAACATCAAGAAGTACAGAAAATAGATTGGCATATTGGTATTCTCTAAATTTAAGATTTTTTTGTCAAAGAAACAAATCGCTTTAGCTCTACTCATGAAAGAAATGACCTGGTTACTCATGAACACCTAGTAGGTGAGTAAAATCCAGCATGAATTTGTCAGAAAAAAACCTGTCAAACCAATTTTTCCTAACAGAAAGCTGTTCTTAAAAACCTAAGGTACAAACACATCATTAAATTGTTATGGTGATTCTAGGTTAGACCATGAAAAAGACTGTATGACATCTCAAGGCCTCTTCAGAACTGTTTTCTAGGATCTTTTGGAGTATTGCATGGACCTTTTAAGCTGTTCTCTGAAAAATAACTCATTATGTCGTCCTATTTATTTGAAAAGGAGGAGGAGTATTTCACACTGATTATGTCCAGGATTTGTTTCCATGCTTGAGGGGAAAAAAAAAGAAAAGAAAAAAAAGAAAAAAGACTAAATCTGCCATGACACCACTAAAAATTCTCTTTATCATCTCTGTATTAACAGACATTTAAATGGCAGCAGAGTCAGATATGGTTTGTACAATTTGCAGCAGAGAAAGCATGATGATCTACTGTGTCCCCCAGAGTGCCAAAGAGGCTTTGTATTTTAATAGATTCTGACCTTCTCTAAATTAAGGTTCAAATATGAATGTTGCTTACCATAGAACTGTACTGAATTCTCCAGCAGAACCTAGTCAGGGAGATGTACAGACAATATTTTGTCTCTGTGAGAAGACTAAGATGAAACTATAGAGCGGACATGGGGCCTTTTTTTTCAGGCTTGCAAAAAGGTTATTGTTGCTTTAGTTCACTTATGAAATATATTCGAGCAGAGAAAAAAAAAACGGAGGTCATTCTCATGGTGACTGCATGACAGCGAGACAAATGACTCTTTGCATTTGCTTTTATATTTTGCAGGGGAATTTAAAGATCTAGAAGAAAAATGATTAAAAGAAAAAAAACATAAACAAAATGTTTTTGGATGCCTGCCTAGTTTTATTTAAGCCTTCTTGCTTCATTTATCCCTGCTTAAATTCACCCCATCAGTCATCACAGCGAAATATCCTGGGACTGGGTTTACCTTTATTGAGCCTAGCAAAGAGGCTGCCCATTTTAACAGGTAAGACCCTCAGTTGCTCTCAGCTTAAATTACTTACAGAGCATACCATCTAGCTTCCTTGTTGGTTACACCATGATAAAAAAGAAAATATTTTATTGATGTATACTATATATTTAGTAATATTCTAATATTATGGAAAATATTATGAAATTCTTGAGGTTTTTTATTTTGATTTGTTAGAAAATATTTTTGCCATAAAAACCTCTCAAGGAAACCCTATCAACCATATCTTTTATCAATGAACAGAAAAAGCTTATATAAGAAGGAGTTTCCTCAAAATCTTGCTTTCATTTTTTAATTCTGGCTTGCTATTTTTTATTTTCATGGTTGCTTATGATGCACAATACAAAGCTCCCTTTGTACCTTAAAGGGCTGTGACATAATGGTGAAGCTGTGACCCTGCTATGGCCCAACTTCCTAGAAAAAATAACAGAACTTTGTACTGGTTTATGAATTCTGCAGTTCTCACTGGTAAAAGACTTTAAGTTTTTAAAACCCAAATACCTCATGGAACCATTTTCTAAAGCTGCCCTCCTATGTCATTAATACTTTCAATATAACTCAGATCATTTTTAAAGTGTTTCTTATCACAATTTTAAAAGACTATAAAAGTAAACCTCATGAATACTTGGATAACAGACTGGGTGATTAAAACAAAAATTCTTAAAAAGACTTCAAGGACTGTTGATCTGAGTAAATTATGTGTGATACATTCATTTTAGGTAGCCTTCATACATCTTTCAGCTGATGGTTTCATTGGCAGGGCAGTTGTAAATTTTTTTTTCTCTCCTTTTTTAACATGACCGTGAATATTAAATCTGAAATGTAGTTATTCTAGGACAGATATTAATTAGCTGCAATAGAGTTCTTTTGTGACTACTGTGCTGGGAATTAGATGCACTAAGATTAAGTTCTTACTGTTTGACAGATGGTAGATTAAATTATAGTTTTAGCTATGAACAGAAATAAGACCAACATCAGATATGAACAGAGGGGTCCTACTTGAGTTCTTCCTAGAAAACTGGAATACTAAACCTGCTGTCTAGCTATAGCTAGACAGATCACATCAAATCACATCAGCAATTATCTATTTTACAGGGTTTCAGAGTAGCCAGCAAAGACACTTTGAGCACCCACATAATGCAGAGTCATACAGATTTCTTGAACATATCCAGAAACAGGATGGCAAGGTGAATACTAGGATTGTTTACCAAACAGATGTATGTGCTGTATCTTTGCCAGGACTGTAAGGCTCCAGTTTCAGCTATATTCTATTTGGCATAATTAATTACCTCCTTGCAATATTATACATATATTTGAAAATGTACTTACAATTTGACATAGACACTTGTGTTCATTGACAATCTTTTCCAGAGATAAGGACTCAATTACATCTGCTTCTGACAGAGCTCCTTCTCTGTCTTGCTTATTTGCCAGCCTAAAGATTAAAAGAAATATTTAGCACCCTGACCCAGGAAAGTTAGAAAGAGATTACATCCCCCAAAAGTAGGAAATAGAAGAGGAAAAGAAAGCAAAGAGAAAATACGCTGTTTCAGATTTAGTTCTTTGTTATTCTTTCTACTTAATAAAAAATGTGTTTGTCCAAGCATCTCTCTCAACAGAGATACTAACAATAAATAATTACTATGCACCCATTGACAGAACAATTGTATTTCAGAGTGAAGAAGATGGAGGTAAAAGATCAAAATGCTTTACATCCAAGTCCATGCAGAACAGTCTGTTCAAACTATAGATCCAAGTTCAGAACTTCACGACCTCCCCGACCGTGGGCATTTGCCTACATTATAATGCTGCTTCATGATCTTCTTAGGTCTCTCTGCTATCCATAATTTATCTTTGACTCCAGACAATTTGATATGTATTGTTTGAACCTGCTCTTTTTAAGGAAAACACAGGCCTCTGAGGCATGAACTTCCACAGATGGCTCTAAGACACACTTGATTATTAAATGGAAGGAACAAAAAAAGCCTCTGAAACACAAAATAAGTATTTTGCACGATGAAGTGTCATCACTGTCTTATTTCTTAGAAATATGTTAGCAAAAAGGAATCCAGAAAACAAACATCTTAATTTTGGGGACATATCATTCTTGATCGTACATGTATTCCATATCCTCCATAACTGCATCTAAGACCAATGCCGGTAATATATATCTCCTAAAACATACAAAGCCCATCTGGAATACCATCCATAGAACGTTATTTATTGTTACACACTTTAATGTAGGCATGGGTTTTGGAAGAGAGGATGTTATACTCCTTTCAAGCCTGTTCTCAAAGCTGTTATGTACATAGAGAGGGCTCTCCAGAGTTATATAGCATCCCAAAGCTTAAGTTCTGCACCTCAGCAAGCTCCTAGAGATACCATGCTCTAATCATACAAATTCAAGTTATTTCCTTTTTTCAAAACTAATTCTTGAATCTCCTTCATATCATTTGAGACTGAAAAATATTTCTAATCTAAAGCCCTAAAAGGCATAAAATAATCTATAGGTAGGAAAGAACAAAAAATGACTGCTAGAAACTGTGTGGAACCACCTCTCAAAAAAGGCAAAAACTTGTCACTAATTGGGATTTCCCTCAACTATTTAAGAAATGATGTTCATGAAACTTGAGACCTCAATTCCTCTATTCAACTGTACTTAAAAGAAAGCAAGATGGATTACAGGCAGCGTAATTATGTAAGACATACTTCTTTAAAGTAAAATCTTCTTAAGCATTCCCTAGCAACATGTCTTTTTTCTTTCAATAATTTAATTCTATAGCTGTAGGTTTCACACACAGCAGAAAAAGATAAAACTGTCAAAACAGAGATAAAAGACCACATTCATACAAAATGACAGAAAAGATTAACTAGGTAAATGTAAACTTGCAGTCATGTTGGTCTGATTTTTAGGAGGTAACTGACAAGCAAACTTTAATAACAATACAGTATTATAGATAGAACTCCACAAGGCGTTTTACAGAGAAATGCATAGGAAATCTTTTATGTTCCTTGAGGATCTGAGAGTTCTGTAAGAAATAAACAGAACTTCACAGAAGAGGTCAAGTCAACAAACCCTTGTTTTCATCTTTAGCAAAAAACAGCTGGCAACAATAGGATACATAGTTTTTTCGCTCCCATTAGCTGCTTCTTATTAAAAGCTATTATTTTTAGACCCTCGTCCATAACAATATTACTGCCCGGAAATCCCTTGGAACTGTGCAAAGCTATTAAGTAATATTTCACCAGCATTATTCTGCTCCCCTTTAAACCTATTATTTTTCTTTGTGAAACCTAGTACCGTTTGCTTTGAAACAGTACTGTTTGATTTTGGAGTATAAGCATAAAATACAATGCGATTTTGCACTTTCTACATAGGCAAAATTCAAACAAAAAGTAAAATCCGCAAAATAATGTACAATGCAGCATTAGAGATTCTGAAAAATGCACATTTCACCAAAGTAATGTTCTTAAATTTCAGCAATCCTTCCCACTGCAAGAGAACTCCAATATACATTTCTGGATAAAATCACAAATGTTTGGTTTCCATCAGTACAGAGGTAGATGGCTTGGGCTGTAGTATGAGAACACTAGTTCTTAATTATTTTAACTACTATGAGAGCTTTTAATCTCACGCAGAGCTGAAAAACAAACACTGTGTTGCATTTACAGCTCATAAAACCCCAGCTCATCGCTATTTATATCAGGAGGTAAAAGATCACGACCCCCTGCTTTGATAGCCCATTCCCGTTTCTCGTGGGAGTCAGAGTCATCCCACAGCACCTTCCGCAGACTTTTTCTGTGTTTCTTTTTGGCACGCCTGTTTGCTGTGCGCGCCTCGGTGCGGAACGCGGCCCCGGCGCGCGGCCCTTGCCAGGGAGGCAGCGCCGCCGCAGCAGCTTCTCTCTTGGTCTCCCATGCAGCACCACAGCTCTCCCAGAGAGCGCCCTGGACAGCTGTTTAAGAGCTGGTGGCAGGAGGCATGAGGAAGACATTTAATGGAAGGCCACTCTGGACACGTCGCTTAGGCGAGTTCTCCAAACCGCGTTTCTCAGGCTGCGCTCGAGCTTGCCCTTAGGAGCTGCCTGGGAGAGGATGAAGGGGAGGCTGCCACCTGCGCAACACTACAAGGTACAGAGCTATTTTTTACTCAATCCTTGCAAAGTTGCCAGTTTGAGGGTAAAAAAAAAAACAAAAACCAGGAGTAGTTCCATCTAGGTTGTAAATGCACCTAAGTGTCAGAAAATACAAATAATGGATCTGTATCCCGCAAAGAATTTGATATTTCTCTGGGTGAATACAGTATCAGAGCTCTATTGCTCATGCACAGCAATGTAATTTTCAGGGCAAGTTTTATGCATAAAACCTCCGTAGGGAGTATGTCAGTTATCTTAAAGGATAGAGCTTGATTTTAATTTTCCTAGTCAGTAGAACTTCACACACACACACACCAGTTTTTTGTGTTTAAAAACTGTAGGAGCTATATAATCAAAACATACTTGAAAGCACAAGATTGTCTGTTGATTTATCACATTAAGTTACCAAGTGAAAAGCTTCATATATAAGATCATGCTTGGCTTATTTCAGTTTTGCAGAAAATGTATTAAAGGTAGGCACCCATTGCCTCTTGTTTTTTTTGTTTCTTTTTTTTAATCAAGTAGGATTTTTTTCTAAACAACTAGAGAGCTTTTGAACGTGAAGTCACATGGGAAACAGTGTAGAAAGGGAGTGTGTGTGTGCATTGGCACAGCTAACACCTATAGTTCAATAACAGTATTTCTCCTAAAAGCCAGAACACATGCCAGTGAAAAACAAAGCCTGAATGCCAACTATGTGTGTTCCTCAGTGTGTTTCTAAAACCTTAAGTTATTGATCAGAATGAAAATAAACCATTATTGTAGTTTACAATCCAAAAGGTTCTGTGAACAAGAAATCCAACATGAAAAGGACACAACTGTATCTCAGCCTTCAGCAAAAATCCAAATAGCGAAAGAGTTGCGATTTCCTCCTCTGAGGTGTGTTTGTTTTTTGTTTGTTTGTTTTTCCCTTTTTTAAATATATACACTATTTGTGACTTTCCAACTTCAGGATTTACTTTCATTTGTATGGGACTCTCATACAGTAACATAACACTGAAAAGTATGTATTGTAGGGGCACACTCTAAAGGGGAATCAGTGAAAAATAACCTAGGGATGCTGCTTTTGGGGTTAAGTTTAATCACAGTCAGCTGCCTCAAATCCCAAATTTGGAGTCAATTCTGACCTGCCAAGATAAAAACAAAAAACAAAACAAACAAAAAAAAACCCACCTTTTTATTTGTTCCTTAATTATTCTCTCCAAGTGAAGTCTCTTAGCTGCCAATGTTCTAGTGCCTGTTGCCCATCAAAATTAATGGGCAGTAAACTCTGTCATCAAAACACTACAGTATCAAAACTGTCAATGTGAGTACAAACAGCCTACCAAAAATGTATTTTTATGTGAATGATTTAGTCAAGATGAAGAATTTTAAAAGGCTGCACTTTGAAAAGTCATATTTGGGAGCAATTCATGACTTAATACATGTAGGCAAAACAGATGAGAACCTTAAACCTAACTGCAATCTACACAAGGGAAAGACCAATATCTTCTTTCTTCACACATGGTTTGCAGGAAGCTTTTATCTGATATGCTGTTGTACTGCATTTTAACTCTTTACTTTTTGTAAACAATGCTGCAGACAGCAATCAGGAGGGAATGAGAGGCTACGAGAGAGGTGGGGTCTGAGCAGTCAAAGCAGGAAGTGCTTTGTTGGTTTCTGTATGTTTTGTTTATGTTAACATCCATGGAACTCAAATTCCTGGTCAGCAAACAGAAAGAGAGGTGTGGATTTATCAGATTTGTTTCCCTGTTCCTAAATATTTCATGTTCTTCCCCCTTCAGTTATTGATTGTACTTTAGCCTATCACGGAAATTACAGAAAACAAAATTCTCTATTTCTGACACCAACAAGCACATTCAAGAACTACCAAACACTTTCAGATCTCCCATAGAGACCTTTAGGCATTCTAAGATTAAGCTCTGACCCCTCAACTCCCTTTTTGCGGATTGCCTTTGAGCAGTTTTTAACCTGTACTGAAACAACCAAATCCTCTGACCAGGAGTTTAACCTACACTCTATGACAGTCTTATTTTTCAGTACACTAGACTCATCGGCCACTTCTAGTTGTTTGGCAAGAGCCTCTTTCTCAAAGAGGCAGGTTGATTTCATTTTTCTTTTGCTTTTCATGCCTTTGATTCTTAAGCAAAAAAAGCTTTTGAAAATGATGATGAGCTCTAATGAAAAACTGGTGACATGAGGTGCTCCAAGATGATCTGCCTGCTAACATCAGTCAAGAGTTTGTGTACATGTAGTTGCAGGGAGATGGGAGAGACACTTCTCCAGCTGAACCCTGTCC